GATCCCTGTGAGAGTGGCAACTTCAGGGTGCACACGGTCATGACTCTGGAGCAGCAGGTGAGCCAGCTCCTCTGCAGAGGGGAGAAGGGACTCAGATCCGTCCCTGCTGTGACTCCGTCGTCGTCCTGCAGGACATGGTGTGCTACACGGCGCAGACGCTGGTCCGGATCCTCTCTCATGGAGGCTACAGGAAGATCCTGGGCCAGGAGGGCGACGCCAGCTGTAAGCAGGGTTTGGGGTTGGAAGCGGTTCCTCCGTGCTGTTAGGAGGCGGAGCGGCGGCGCTGCTCTGGGAAGCAGCCGGTGGCAGCCGCTCAGCTGCAGGGACGAGTCGGTGGCTGTGTTTCCCCCTGCTGGCGCATCCCGGGAACGAAGCTTTGAGCTGCGTGCTCAGCTCTCCTTCCTGCAGATCTGGCTTCCGAGATGTCCACGTGGGACGGAGTGATAGTGACACCTTCGGAGAAAGCTTACGAGAAACCTCCAGAGAAGAAAGAAGGAGAAGAGGAAGAGGAAAACCAGGAAGAACCCGCTGCGGGCGAGGAGGAGGAAAGCATGGAGACCCAGGAGTGATTTGCCCAGGTAAAGCCTGAGAGGAGGGAGCAGGAAGAGGCTGGGCAGAGCTCTGCCTCCCACAGTCCCTGCTCTGCCCCTGCAGCGCAGCTCAGCACCACCGGCTGCTCCTGGAGGAGGCACTCGAAGAACTGAGCAGAGGAACGAAATCAACCCCAGCAAACACACCCAACCGATGCCATCTGTCCCTTGTATTTGTTTTTATAGGTTGACATTAAAGTATTCTCCCTTTTGAGTGAGTTCTGTCTGTTTTGGGGGAGAAGATACACGCTACAGAAAGGGGTTAAAGCTCCGGTACCTGGAAGGGAGTCTTAATCTTGACAAGCTCTACCTGGGGGTGATGAATTCCCCTTCTGTTTGTGCTGGCTCTGCTTCCACTGAGGCACACCCTGTAAGGCCGTGTCTGTGACACACACTGCCTCCCCATTCCGTAAGCAACACGCAGTCCCTTTTATTACAGTCCCTACAAGCCTAAAAACACAGTAGAGTCCCCCAGTTCCTTATGCTGCAGCTGAAGCACCGCGGGCTGCAGGGCTCCCCTCCTGTGCTGCCAACACGGGGCTCCCAGCTTTGCAAGGCACCTCCCCGCTCAGAGCTTCTGCTCCATCCCAGCTCCCAGGGGCGGCTGTGGGTCCTGCTGGGTGCTGCAGTGGGGCTCACTTGCTGGGCAGACCCTGGGGGTATCCGCCTGCTGCCTCCAGCATCGCCCTCCTGCGCATCGTCTCCTTGGCCACGCTGTGGTTCAGCCGCCGCAGCCTCTCCTGGAGTGGGAGAACAGCAGCCGTGAGCACAAAGCGATGGCAATTCCTCCCCCCCCCCCCAAAAAAAAAACCACAACGGAGCCCCAACATCTGACCTGGGCGTTTTGCAGGATGTTGTTCACCAGCACCACCCTGCGCCGGGCGTTCAGCAGCTTCTTCACATAGGGATCGAGATCCAGAGCCACTTTCTGATCCTCATTGATTCGGCACAGCTCTGCGGGACGGCACGCAGTGGCCACGGGGCGCCGCAACCCCGACGGCAGCCGGACGATCCCCCCCCCCAGCACGGCAGCCGACCCCCCACCCCTCACCTGTCGCCAGGCTGTCGATGTGCTCCCGCAGCTCCACTTGGCTCTCCCTGCAAGCAGCGCTGAGTCGGTGACGAAGCCCCGCAGCCCCCGCGCACCCCCGACGCGATCCCCGTTATCCCCTATGAGAGCCTCTCGCCCCCAAGTCACCCCAAACGCAAACGGGCGCAGCCGCCCCGCCCCGGCCCGCACACCGCCCTGCAGGCCCTGCAGGCCCAAACCGCGGCCCACCGCCCCGCGCGGCCCCGCACCTGACCGCATGCACGTGCCCGTCCAGCTGCCGCACGGCGGGCCGCAGGAACTGCAGCAGCCCCTCAGCGAACAGCTCCCGCGCGGCCGGACCGCCGCTCCCCGCCGCCATCTTAGCGTCACCGGAAGTGATGACGGAGCACTTCCGGTCAGCGCGCAAAGGGCTGCTGGGAAATGGAGTCCGCGATGCGCCGAGCGCCGCCATGAAGCGCCGCCTCAAATCCGCCGCAACTCCGCTTTTTTCGGGTAATTTGGTTTTGTTCTTTTTTTAACTTTTTTTAACCTTTATTTTTTTAAACGTTTTTTAACTTCACTTTTTTTACATTTTTTTATTTTCTTACTTTTTTTTAAAACTTCATTTCTGTACTTTTTATTTTTTTACTTTTTAACTATTTTTTAAACTTTTTTTTACTCCGTTTTTCCACTCCTTTCTCCCCCCTTTTTTACTTCTATTTCCCCTTTATTTTCTCCTTACTTTTTTTCACCTTAATTTTTTTTTCTTTACTTTCCTTTTTTTCTTTTTCATTTCCCCCCCTTTATTTCTTCCCTTTATTTTCTCCTTATTTTCTTCCCTTTCCACTTTGTTTCTTTATTTTCCTTCTTTTTTCTCCTTTTTTTTTAATTTTTTTCCCCATTTTTTCTTTTTTTCCATTCTCCCCACTTTTTTCCCCACTTTTTTCCCCCACATTTTCCCCATTTTTTTTTCATTTTCCCCACTTCTTTTTTTTCCACATTCCCCCCATTTCTTTTCCATTTTCCCCACCTTTTTTCCCCATCTTTTTTTTTACATCTCCCCATTTTCTTTTACAACCCCCCCACTTTTTTTCCCACCCCCCCTTTAATTACACCCCCCAACCTTTCCTTACATCTCCCCAATCTTTCCATTTCCCCCCATTTTTTAAACATTTTTTCCCCGCTTTTTTCCCCCCGTTTCCCCCGCTTTTTTTTCACGTCCCTCCACATTTCTTTCATTTTCCCCCACTTCTTTTTCCCATCCTTCCCCGCTTTTCCTTCACCCTCCCCCACTTTTTCCCCCTCCCCTTCCCCCCTCCCCCCCCGCACAACGCACTCAGCGCAGCGCCGCAGGCTCGGCAGCCGGCATGGCGTGCAGAACCTCATCCAGGAGCTGCATCGCGCGGTGCAGCTGCACCTCGATCCAACACGGCGTGTTTTTGATGCTCTGCCGCGGATAATCCGGCCCCCAACCCTTCACGAAGCTCAGCCGCAGGATGCACAGCCGCCGCAGATCATCCACGCCGATCCCGGCCGCCGCCGACAGCCCTGACCGATCGCCTCGCCGCTTATTTGGGCTCCTCACGATGCCCCCCCCACCTCCTCCCCCCCCCCAAAATCCCCGCTGCGCGCTCACCCACAGCCGGAGCGATGCCTCCCACCGCCCCGGGTCCCGGGATGTTTCCAGCCACGGCGGCCGCTTGGGTTGCGGCAGCGGCTTGAGCTGTGGCTGCTTGCTGCTGCATCTGCCGATGGCATTGCCGCAAATCAAACACCTGGGGGAGCAACGAACAGGGGGGGATTTCAGCTGCCTCCTGAAATCCCTTCGGACGCTTGGCGGCGATTCCTTTTTTAAGGGTCCCATCCCCGCCCCCCCAGCATCGGGGATCGGCAGCCCTGCACTCACAGAGTCACGGCACCGTTTGGGTTGGGAGGGAGCTCAGCGATGGCGAAGCTGCGACCCCACA